GGCCGGGGCCGCTCCCGCCCGCACCCTCCCCAACTCCCCGAGTGGTTAAGGTGCAGGCCAGCTCCCGACAGCCCCTCCCCCTCCTCCCTTCGCCGCCGCCCCCCCCACACACACCCAGTCGCAACATAAGATGTATTACAATGTCTAGCAAATAAAAAAGCAATTGGGGGAAATCTGCATTCCGTTTCCATGGCAACCCAAGCAGCACACCCGGCTACGAAGGCTCCCAGCCCCTCTGAGCGAGGCTTGGGGAGCGGGGCCCACACAGCACCGAGCGCGCGCTTGGGTCTGTCCCTCTTGAGGTCCTTGTCTGCCTCCAGGTCACTGTTCTCCCTAACACCCCCCAAAAGTCCCAAAGCCCGGCTCCTGGAAGCTTGGGGAACCCCCTGAGCATGAGGGGTCCTGCCCTGCCTCAGAGAAGAAGGGTTCCGGGTGCGTTCAGAGCCGAGGATTTGGGGGGGGGGCTTTCTGGCTATGCGGGTGTGTGGGTGCTAGGACAGTCAAGCTTGGAGAGACTCAGGCCACCACTCAGACCCAACCCCCTGGCCCCTTTCCCTCATCGACACCAGGAAGCAGACGGATGGGGAGGCCTCAGCGACTCCTCCAGGTCACCCAGCTCAGGCGCGCAGACGGAGGCCCAGTTACCTACATGGCCCATGTTCCCCGTCCCTCCTCAGCCTGCCCTGTGCAGACTTGGAGTGACACAAGTGTCTTCCCATTTTCATGCCTTCAAAAGCCTTTTTTTAAAAAACAAATTTTTTTTTGGCCTTTGCTTACCAAGATTATTTTGAAAATAGGTTAGACGTGGAAAAGCTGAACATTCAAACAGTCCGGGAGGGGAATCTGTCGCCCCTGGGGCCAGGAGCTGCCCGCTGGCAGAGGGACACTGTTCACTGTGTCACCTTTTGAATATGGAGCCATGCGAGTGTGTTAGCTGTCGAGAATAAAATTGAAATGGGAAGAAAAAAGAACAGGCCAGGAAAGTCAGCGGCCCTCCGCTCTCTCCCCAGAGATAACCGGCAGGTAGAAGGAGCTTTTCCTGGGGCCTGAGTGCACCCCCTCCCCATTTGTAGATGTCACGCTCCCCTTTTCTTGGCAAGCGGCTGGCGAAGGGTGACTCTCGGGGTTCAGGATCCGCCAGGCAGGCCGTGGGCAGCGTCCCTGGGCCGCCCCCTCCTCCCTTCCTGGCGCACCTGGGAGCCTGTGCGCTGATCGTGACCTCATTTCGGAGGAAATGGAGCCACTCTTCCCACCCCCTCACCCTGTGCGTCTGCTCCCTTCCCAGCTACTTGGCCCTGGGCCCCAGGCTGCCATCTTCCCTTCCCACCACCCCCATCCCTTTGCTATTTTGCAAGAACTAGTCCTACTAGGAGCCGGATGGCTTTGCAGCCTGACAATTGTGTCTGCACGGTTCAAATGAGTTGTTTTTTTCTTTGTGTTTTTTGTTTGTTTGTTTTGTTTTGTTTTTGACACCAGGGCCTCAAACCATCTGGGTAGTCCTTAAATCTGGGGCCGGGGATGGACGAGTGTGAGCCTGGGAGAAGGCGGCGTTCTTTCCGCTTTCTACGAAATCGAAATCGGTTCATGCAAACCTCCGGTGTGGGAGGGTGGCGAGGCTGGAATCCACTAGAAATGGCCCTGGAGAGAGACCATCCCTCCCGATTTGGACCCGAGGAATTTGGACCCTAACGGAGCCACGTTCACATCCCCTCTGGACCAAGAGGCTCAACATTGATGCCCCTTCCACCTGGGCCTCGGGCCTTCTCCCGGCTCCCCCGGGGAGTCCTCCCAACCTCTTCCCGCCTCGCACTCCCCATGGTTGGGCCTCACTTATGTGGCACGTTGGCACTACGCCCCAGGCCCTGGGGCAACAAG